GGGGTGCCTATGTGCTGGGACAATGTACCATAGTTTTTGTGGGGCAATTTTGGGGACTGCCTATATGGGGTGCCTATGTGCTGGGACAATGTACCTAAGTTTCCGGGGGATAATGGAACTACCGCCTATGTCGCCACCCTGAAAGGACTACCAATCATACGGGGGCAAGCAAGGGTTCTGGGAAGGAGACTGCAAAACTCGCAATGGGAGTGGGAGGGAATGTGTGCGCATGAGGGTTGCTGTGGACTGTTATGTATGAACAAGACCAAGGTAAAAGAAGAACACAGCAAGAGGAGACAAAAATGGAATGTGGAAATGAGAATGACAGCAATGCCATCAACAGGCCCAGCGGGGAACAAGGGGCAAGGCAGGCAGGGGAACCAAGTACCAGGAAGAGGAAACTGTATGTGGGTTTTGACTTCAACGTGGTTGTGGGCAGAGGAGGAAGGAAGCAAGGGACCAAGGGGCCCTCACCCCTGAGAAAGGGGGAACCAATAGATCTCCCATCTGACAGTGACAACGGTAAGGGGGAGAATGGAAGCCCAAGGAAGAAGCAGAGGATGGATGAGGAAGAGCCCAACGAGGTCATAGACCTCAGTAGTGGGGAGGAGGACGACGAGGTCACAACGCCAACAAAAGAAGTATGGGCAAGGGATGAGGATCCAGTCGATGAGAAGGACAAATGGATAAAAGAGTTTGGGTCGTCTTGCAGCGATTGGTTTGATCAATGGTCCAGTATCATGCGGTATGAATGGGCGATCAAAGGAAAGGAAAAGCTAAGCAGGGGAGAAGATAAAGCGCCAACAACCTTCTTCACCGAAGAGGCGCTCAGAGAACGAAGAGAAGGATGCAGCAAGAAATCGACGATCACGCAAGAGAGGCTCAACACAGGGCAACTGGGCAACAGGGGGACAATAGACATAACAAAGAATAGCTAGAAAATGGGGAGGATGGGTACCTGGGCAGGCAGAACTGTCATTTTGGACTTTGCATTTGAATTTTTGGGAATAAACCACAATGGGACAGCTTTCCAGTCGGGAGATGACTAAGGAGTGGGTAGCTAGTGCTACTTTGCATAAGTACTTGCTTCTTCAGAAGGACGTGAGGACCAATGAGCTTGAGACTAGAGCTATGAAGGACTGCCTACCTCTAGAAAAGGCAAAAGGGAAAAAGGGACATAGATGAGGCAGGTCTGAGATGTCGTTTTGCACAGGAATTTTCCCTTTTCCTTCGGAAGAGCCGCAAATGGGACCGCCCTTTGAAATGGGGAAGTAAACAGGGATTGGGTAGCCAATGCTACTTTGCATAAGTACTTGCTCCTGTGGAAAATGTGAGGATCATTGATAGTGAAAGATGAACTGGAAATGGTTGACTCTGTTTTGGGAAAGGAAAGAGCATGGGGATTATCGAGATTGAAAAAAAGTCTATGCCAATAGAGTTTTGTGACATATGTACCCTTGGATGAATGAGTCATGGTATGAGTCTCTGTGAGAGGTTAGGGGACCTATGGGTAAAGAGGCATGAAGAACACTCTTCCCTTGGAGCCTAATCCAACCTGTCCTGGATAAGTCCAGAGCAGCGAAAGGCATGAGAGGTCAGACAAAGAAAAAACAGTGACGGCACATACTCTCCTTGTTTTGGTTGAACGACCGGGTGGGCTAGTGCCGCTTTGGGTTGCGAGCCTTAATTCGAGCACTAGACGCTAAGTCGGATGTATGGACATGAGAATGATGACGAACATGAGACAAAAGGCAAGAGCATGTGGAAAACCTAAAGAGATGGCCACCTTCTAACCTCCGAGACAGAGATAGGATCCGTGTCCTCGAGGCCTACCCCCTCGGGCGCTAACATTGGAAATGGATAACGATGGCCCTAACCAGGATGTCCGATGGAAATGGATAAGGATGGCCCTAACCAGGCTGTCCGATTGAAATAGATAAGAATGACCCTAACCAGGTTGTTCGGAATGACCCCTGACAAGGGTCATTCTTTGGAATTGGCGCTGAGGTCCCGGGAGCGACACTCACGATCAACTGGTTCTCAAAATTGAGTCAGCAATTACAAGCTGGTAAATTTGAGCCACAAGCGTGGCCTTATCTTATCGTGGTTGATTTACTCCATAATAAAATAGGAAGGAGACCGGACGCCCACTTCTTTGCGTCTTGCTTTCGTGTCCAGCATGTCTTGCTGCACTTCGTGCCTGCCTTCGATCGGCGTCCGATATCGACGAAATACTTCCCTTCTGATTGTCCGCACCGACGCATTCATTATTGGATACTCGGCGGAGGTTTCAGCATATAGCCAGATTTGCCTTTAACATTACTGTGTAAGCGCCCCAGATAAGGCATCCGCCCCAGATAAACTACCCACCATGCAAGGTCCCCTTGCATGACTGCTTGAGAGGCATGAGATTGAGAAGAGTTGAGCTTTGCAAAAGGATATTGGACTCAACTTTGGAAAAGCTATTGGACTCAGCCTTGGAAAAGATATTGGACTCAGCCTTGGAAAATATATTCGACTCGGCCTTGGAAGAGATGTTTGATTGAGCTTTGGAATTGGAGCGAGTCTTGTATTTGGATTGAGCTTTGGAACTGGATTGAGCCTTGGAATTGGATTGAGCCTTGGAATGGGATTGAGCATCAGAATTGAATGAGCATTGGAAATTGCATTGCATAAACAGGGGACTCTAGGCAACTTGAAATGGACTTGGAAATAACATTGAAATTGATTTCTTTTTTTCTAGTCCTTGGCCTCAGCAAGTGGGGGGTACCGGTGCTTGCACTGCGACCTCAAGACCTCTATTCCTTAAAGGGAAAAGTCTCAGCGCGACCTGTTCCTCTTACAAGGGGATGAGGGTTAAAGGACCAAGGCACCTACCACTTGGATCGGTGCAGGACGTCCGGAACTGACCCCGACAATGAGCTCTAGTCGGGGAGTTCAAATTGCGCCTCGTGTTGAGAGCCTAAACGTCAAAGGGTGGGAGAACCAAATGGGCGAGAGAGCCATTCTTATTTTAGTCTATTTCGCTACTCTCCAACCACACACCATACCATAGAGGGGTAGCATGGTCGTTTGGGTCGGACCTCGGCTGCCCACACAAAGTTGGGCGGCACTGTCCACGGGGAGGGGCCGGGCGAGGTACCGGGTGGAGGCCGCCACCACCACGAGGCATTGACACTGCCTTGCCAGAACATTACAACCGCTTCGGGACTAATTGTAAGGTTTTTGTAACTGCACTCGCGAACTATTAGAGAGCCCCGACTCTCTTGAAAGGAAGAGGCCGGATCCAGAAAATTACCACTCGGGAGGAACGATTCGTGAGGGAAACTCTTACGGATAGACGAGGCCCTGGAAGGCTTGGACTGGACCTACCTGCCTGATGTGAGGAGGAACCTCAGTATTGGTGCTCGCCGCGTAATAGTAAAAGGTCGGATCGAGTAGGAGGATGAGGCGCCACCCGCTGGGGAGGAACTGATCACTCTTCCCTTGTGAAGCGGACTGCGGTCGGCGGGCCAAAGGTCTGCGTACCTCCGAGTGAGAACCAGTCGCGCGATGGGGACATTGCGTTTTGAGTGAGGGGGAAGGTGTGCCATCTGCCAACAAAAACGCATGAAAAGACAGTGTAATTGGCTTTGCATGGGCCTGAGAAAAGGGGTCTGGCAAGATGCCCAGAAGAGAAAAGACTATGTAATTGGATTTGCATGGGCTTGAGAAAAGGGGCTTGGCAAGATGCCCAGAAGAGAAAAGACTGTGTAATTGGCTTTGCACGGGTCTTAGAAAAGGGGCTGGCAAGATGCCCAGAAGAGAAAAAACTTGTGTAATTGGCTTTGCATGGACCTGAGAAAAAGGGGTCTGGCAAGGTGCCAGAGGAGAAAGGACTTGTGCAATTGGTTTGCATGGGCTTGAGAAGAAGGCCTGACAAGGTATCTGGAAGAGAGATGCATGAGGGATAAACTGAGTATCGCGCATGGAAAATTAATTAAGCAAAGGGCAAGAAAGGACAAAGGGTGATATGCATGCGAAATTGGCAGGGCGAGGGAAAGGCCGGGTGAAATGACCCGGGAGAAATGAATGTGGATTTGGCTAAGGCCTGAGCTTCGGGGGAAGAGTGGCGGAAAACATGGATTGCACGGGCCAAAGGACCCAAAGTTGGATCAAGAGGTGATGATGGTGCTTGTCAAGCAAGTAGGTGAGTGTTCCTCATCTTACCCACCTTCTATCGAGAGACTTCTAAATGAATACAAGGACTTGCAGACTGAGCCGACGGGAATCACTGAGCGTGCTATTAAGCACACAATTGAGAACATTCCCGGAAGCAAAATTCCCAAAGGTCCCATTTACCGTATGTCTCCCAGAGAACTTGAGGAATTATGGAAACAAGTGCAGGAACTTACTGATAAGGGATGGATTCGCCCTAGCTCATCTCCTTATGGTGCACCTGTCTTATTTGTGCCCAAAAAGGAAGGTGAACTTCGCTTGTGTATTGATTATCGTGGGCTGAATTCCGTCACTGTGAAAAACGCGGAACCTCTTTCGCGCATTGACGATCTGTTAGACCAACTACAGGGATGTAGGTATTCCAGCAAGATTGATCTCAAGTCAGGGTACCACCAAATTGAGGTAGCTCCTGAAGATCAACACAAGACGGCGTTTCGAACAAGGTATGGTCACTACGAGTTTGTGGTAATGCCTTTTGGTCTGACTAACGCCCCTGCAACCTTCCAGAGGTCTATGAATGAGTTGTTTCGTCCGTGGTTGGACCAATTTGTAATTGTCTATCTCGATGATATCCTAGTGTACAGTAAAGCACTGGAAGATCACGAGAAACATCTGCGAATGGTTCTCCAGAAGTTACGTGAGGGTAACTTCAAACTGAATCCTAAGAAGTCTGAATTTGCTAAGCCTGAAGTACTATACCTAGGGTATTTAGTAAATGAAGAAGGACTAAGACCAAAAGAAAAGAAGATTACAGCAATCCGAGATTGGCCACAACCTAAAACTATAACTGAACTCAGATCTTTCTTAGGACTTGCTAGTTATTATAGGAAGTCGTCAGAAACTTCCCCTTGATAGCTGCTCCTATGAGAAGACTGTTGGTTGTGGGACAAAGATTGTGAGTCATCGTTCAGAAAACTGAAATCTGTTTTGACTCACTATCCTGTCTTAAAGATTGTTGACCCTTCTCTTCCTTTCATCGTCACGACTTACGCAAGTCAGTATGGGATTGGCGCTGTGTTACAGCAGGACGACTGTAAGGGATATAGACCTATTGAGTTTATGTCCAGAAGACTTCCGTCGGAGAAAGTCGCCAACTCCACATATGAAAGGGAAATGTACGCCTTAGTCGCTGCACTAGATACCTGGAAACACTACTTGTTGGGAAGACATTTTACTGTCTACTCTGATCACTCTACGTTGAAGTGGATCAAGACTCAGGCTAAGCTCTCCGACAAGTTGATAGGGTGGTCCGCTTTCCTTGATACCTTTGACTTTGAGGTAAAAACCATCAAAGGTAAGTCTAACGTGGTTGCAGATGCTCTGTCCAGGCGTGCAAATTTCTTTGGAGCAATTGTCCCTTATCTCGATATTGGGAATGAATTGAAGGAACAAATAAGGAAGGGTTATGAGAATGATTCCATCTGGAGTCCTATCATTGAGACTCTAAGAAAGAACCCTGAACTATTCCCAGAGTATCGAATGACTGATGGCATACTCTTCTATGTAGACAAGACCGAAGAAAGACTGTGCGTTCCTCACCAAGAATCAATTAAGAGCTTAATCATAGGGGAATGCCATGATGCAGAAGGACACTTTGGTTTTAAGAAGACGTATGTCGATGTACGATAACGTTTTGAATGGAAAGGAATGAAGGAAGATGTATTAACCTATGTGCGGACTTGTCTTGTCTGTCAAAGGAACAAACCCTCGCATAAGAATCCGATGGGACTACTGAGACCACTGCCTATTCCGAGTGAGCCAGGTGAGTCTATCTCCATTGACTTTATGAGTCTCATGAAGAGTCGAAATGGCAAGAGTCAGGTGATGATCATCGTGGATAGATTCTCAAAGGATGCTATGTTCATTCCTTTGCCTGCTGAAGCTAGAACCGAACTTGTTATTCAAAAGTTTCAGATGCGATGGGTTTCAGAGTATGGATTTCCCAAAACCATTGTCTCTGATAGGGATGTTCGGTTCACTAGTCTGCAATGGTAGAAGTTGATGGAAGTTTATGGGACCAGGTTGACCATGTCGTCAGACAGACATCCTGAAACGAATGGCCAAACTGAGCAAATGAACTGTTTATGCCAACAACTTTTGCGAATGTATGTCCGACCTGATCAAATTGATTGGGATGAGAACTTGCCCAAAATTGCTAGTGCTTACAATAACAGTATCCATATTGTCACAGGTAGAACTTCTAACCCACTACATAAGGGTTGGAAGCCTAGGCGTCCCATCGACGCACTGACCAGATACCAGATTCAGAGGCTACCCCCAGATACGCGTGAGTTTGCAGTTCAGTATGAAGAAGACATCAAGAAAGTAAAGGAAAACATACAAAAGTCCCAATTACAAATGATTGAGCAGGCTAACAACACATCGCCGACCTTCACAGTTTCAAGAAGGGGATTTTGTTTGGGTCAAATCTAACGAGTTCTCCTTAGAAGAAAATGTGTCTCAGAAACTGCTACCTGGCCACTTTGGCCCCTGGGAAGTTCTCAAGGTGATTGGAGACACAGACGGTTCACCCTGTCGTATTGACATACCTCCACACCTAAGGACGTACCCTGACTTTCATGCGTCTAAACTTCTACCTTATGTAGAAAGTGATAACTTTCCTAATAGACCATCCATGTTTCCACCGTCTATGAATGGGAACTACGAAGTTGAGAAGATATTGGAACATGCCTATTTCTCTACAGGTGGCAGAGGACGACCTCAGAAGTAGTACAAGGTAAAGTTCAAATCCCAACCTCCATCTGAAGCTAGATGGTTCAGTAGGAAAGAACTTTTAACCACTGCTCCTGACATTGTTGCTGCATATGAACGTGGGTTAGGATAGAAATTGTTGTATTTTCTGCAATGGAACTCGAAAATTGGGACGGCAGGAATGCAATAACCCATGCCGTATGTCTCGTAGAAATCTGAGGGCCGACCTGGCCGCCCTCAGCCAAGCCAAAAACGAGGTAAGGGACCCCACACAGGGATTCAGGGTCTGGGCGTGCTACAGTTGACTTTTGTCAACTGTCGGGACCCCAACAGTCAAAATCCAAAGGTACTCAGTCCAGGCCACCGGTCAAGCACACACACTTGTTTGTACGCAGGTACCCAGACAGCATCAAGTTTAAGGGGAGATTCTGCAACTGTACAATCCAGGCCTTCGGCTGTGCCTCAATCTGGACGACTGAGGGGAGGAGACTTGAGGCCAGAGAGCCTCGCCAAACACTACTTAAAGTTGGGCTTTGAGGTGGTCAGCATTCAGTCTTGCTATGCTGGTTCAACGCTGGCTTGATTTTGACGTGACTCTAGCCTTATGCTAGCACGACGCTGGCTGGACGCTGGCTGTGCATCGGAGCTGCGGACGACGACACGAGGGAGAGACGACGCTGGCATTGTACGCCAGGCATGCTGACGTGGCGCTGCCTCTGGTATATGTGGCGCTGCCTATGGTCTACGTGGCATGCTGCTGTGGCGCTGCCTCTGGTATATGTGGCGCTGCCTATGGTCTACGTGGCATGCTGATGTGGCGCTGCCTCTGGTCTACATGGCATGCTGACATGTCGCTGTCTCTGGTGTATGTGGCGCTGCTCTTGGTCTACGTGGTGCTACTATTGGTCTTCATTGCTGATGTGGCATTGCCACCTGTCTTCGCTGCTGATGTGGCATGGTCCACGCTGTCTACATGAGGTGACTGATTGCGAGGGAAGAGGAAGATCGGGACTGTGGAGAGATGGTGAATACGTACCTGGATGTCTTCATGTTGACATTGCTCCAGTGCTGATGAGGGACTAATTAGACGTGCCACATGGCACATTGAGGTTACTTCGGATACTCGTTCAGACTATTGTTTATTGAGATGGTAGTCGAGGAGGGAGCCCGAAGCAGGAGTGGGCATTATACTTTCCTCTCCTTTGTCTAATCTCCCTCCTCTCTCTTCGTCTGTGTATGACTATCTCATCTCATTCTGTCTGGACACGATCGTGATTATTGGTACTCATCAGCTGTTGACATTTATCTGGACTTGCACTGCTGACAACTGTGTTCATGATCTGGGTTCATTACACTGCGGCTGGGGGTCAATAAAACTTATTAAAAAGACCACCAAGAATGATGTCAGCCTGTCAGCCCTTCTCAGATTGATTGAAGAAAAAACTCGTCTGCTCCGCTGGCGTGGCAAGAAAATTATGTGGTTAACAGGTCTCAGTGGTTGTATTCTGCGTGTTTGTGAATCTTTCCTCTGTAATGGAAACCCATGTAGCACAGGCCTTTGTCGGAGCTCAGTGCGGCATACCAAGAAGCTGTAGATGGTGAGATTTCCACTTACACCGTTTCTATCACCCGTTGATACTTCCTTCTCAGTCTAGTTGAGAGTAACATGATGATAGGATGGTTAAGGCAAAGATAATCATAGATGAGGGTCAATGAAGTGTGATGCAGTGTGGATGTCGTGCCGTCACAGATTGGCCATCTCTCTCTCTCTCTCTCTCTCTCTCTCTCTCTCTCTCTCTCTCTCTCTCTCTCTCTCTCTCTCTC